GACTATGTGGAGAAGTGGGAACAGCGGGAAAAGGTAAGTGAGAGTCTTGGGCCATTGACTGATGAATGCATCTACAGTACTTCGGAGTATTTGCCAATGCCAGCTCGGAAGCAGTATCATTTGCACTTTTGATTCACACGGGAGGTCAAGAGGTCAAGAGTTGGCTTGCTCCATCATTCTCATAGGCAAAGAAAAACTGATTGGTCTAAATCCCATTCCTGAGCTTGAGAGTTGATGCGGCTAAGTAGATTGGCCAAGTTGTTGTCATGGCCGGGAATGTGTAAAGCCGTGAGGCAGATGTGATGTGCTAGCACCACTCCCAGAGGTTGACTGCTAAACAGAGGAGACTTGAAGAGTGGGTGCCACCTTGTTTCAGAATATAGTACATCACTGTGGTGTTGTCAGTGGCAATTTGTACCATCTTGCCAGCGAGACTTCTGAAAGCTTTGCAAGCTTTCATAACCGCCAACAGCTCTAATTTGTTGATGTGAAGCAATTTCTCTCTGGAAGACCACTTGGCATGGATTTTGAGAGATTTGCAGTGAGCTCCCCATCCTGTGAGGCTGGCGTCAGTGCTGACCTGTATTTGTGGTTGTGGTTGTCAGAACAGCCGCCCGATGGATAGGTTGGGAGGGAAACGCCACCACTGAAGTTGGGAGGTGAGTTCTGGGGTGACCCTTAAAAGAGTGTGAGGAGGGTCTCTGAGCGGGTCGAAGAGGGTGAGAAACCACAACTGAAGAGATCTCATCTTGAGACGTACGTGCTGCACAACTGAAGTCCTAGAGGCCATGGTGCCTAGTACATGTTGCACAGTCAAGGCGGATTCCACAGCATGAGGGGTGAAAATTTGAGTAATGCGATGAGATTTTCTCTCTTGTCTGGAGGAAGAAAGGTGCAAGCTTGTGTGGAATCTATGCATGCACCTATATAATGAATAAGCTTTGTAGGTTTCAAATTTGATTTTTGTTCGCTGACAGCAAGACTGAGATCATGAAGGAGAGTAAGGGTGAAGTGAGTGTCTCATTGGGCCTTGCGACAGGAATGAGCTACAAGGAGCCAATCGTCGATATATGGAAATATGAGAAATTTTTGCAACCTGAGATAAGCAGCTACCAATGCCATGCATTCCTGAATACTCTTGGAGCTGTTGCAAGGCTGAAAGGAAGTCTTTTGAATTGGTAGGCTTGTGATCCTAGCTGAAATTGAAGGAATTTTCTGTGTGAGGGATGTATGGAAATATAGAAGTATGCGTTGAGATCTATGCCAGTGAACCAGTAGTTTTTGCAGAGTAAAGGGAGAACTGATTTGAGGGTAACCATACAGAACTTTGGGGTAATGATGTATTTGTTTAACTCTTGTAGGTCTAACATAGGGCGAAGACCTCTGTCCTTGTTGGGTACGGGGAAATAGCAAGAGAAAAACCTTTGTTGTGTTGTGAGACAGGTTGTATGGCATCTTTGAAGAGTAATTTTTTTATTTCCTCTTGCAGGGGTTGGAGATGGTGGAGTGATGATGTGTATTGCCAGAGGAAGTTAGAAGAAATGGATGTGTTAGCTGTCGCAGATGATGGACAGTACCCAGGCATCTGTAGTGATGGATTACCAGACAGGTAGGTGTTTTCAGAGGGCAGGCTGGGGGGAGCGGTGTGTGATCTCGGTCATGGGAGCATCAAATGTGATGTTTGGACTTGTGGTTGTTGCGCCTAGTGCTATGTTGTTGAAGGGCTTTATTTCTTTGATTTCTGAAATAGGGTGTATAAGATACTTGTTTTGGAGGATCATACTGGAATTTTTGATACGAGTTGTACAGTCATCTCCACTAATTTTGTTGGGGATGCTGTAGGTAAGATGGATAAACTCCCCAACGTCTAGCTGCTGATCTTTTCTTTTGCATGTTTTCCAAAATATCATCAGTTTAAGCATTAAAGAGACCTGCTCCATTGAATGGAAGGTCTTTGATATGCGTGCGGGCATCCTCGGCCAGGCCAACTGTCCTTAGCCAAGGGAAACGTTGCAAGGCTACTGAGGTGGCCATTGACTCTGATCTGGTGTCTACCAGGTGCCTAGCAGAAAGCATCTGTTGTTTGGCAACGGAAAGACCTTCTTGTTGAAAGTATTGATATTTGTGGCTCGATGTTGATGGAGCCGACATGTCTATGAGTATTTGTCAGTGTCGAGGATTTTCGATACTGAGAGATGTCATCCAAGTGTCCATGGACGCCGTTTGATATGGTTGCACGTTGGGGTCATAATGATGTTGAGTTTGATGGCTTGATTCTATCGGGTGACGGAAATCGTGCATTGATAGGGGGTCAGAACGAGTGTCCATGGACCAGGGTGGATATTAAGGATCATCGACATCAGAGCTTATGTCTTGGTGATGTCGAAACGGAGGTTGTTGATGAGCTGGTAAAGCAGTGGAATATATAGATGCTGGAGATGTGAGAGGAATGATTTCCCTCGTCTAGATTAGTGGAAAAATATTGGGAGGCTGGAGCTGTAAAAGCCTTGCGTGTAGAAGAAAATTACTCAACCGTCCTGGGTCTTTTAGGTGTCAGGTAGGGAGCAGGTTGGAGTCCATGTGGGTCATGGTGGTATGGCCATTTCAACACTGATGGTTGTCAAGATCGAGGCTCGCCATGAGAAGGTATGGCTGAGCTGGATAGAGCAAGTGGCTGCTTGGAGGTTGCGGTTTGTCCGGTCGAGCACTGGCCGGGGCAAATGACAACTCAGTGAGAGTGCTGAAAGTGGGTCTGAGCCAAGCGTGATGAAATAGATGGCTCCAGGGACTGTTGGGGCTGATGTCTCTGAGGCGGTCATGGTGGACGATCAGATGTTACCGAATAAGGTATGGTCTCTAGTTGTTGTTCGGAGTCAACCCTGTCAGGTGAAACAACTACGGAAGGGTTGCTTGAAATAAAAGTGTTGAGGACCGGGAGGAGAAGATGTTAATCGATCAACTCTGTCATCTCATTCCAGGCTCCAGGGACTGTTGGGGCTGATGTCTCTGAGGCGGTCATGGTGGACGATCAGATGTTACCGAATAAGGTATGGTCTCTAGTTGTTGTTCGGAGTCAACCCTGTCAGGTGAAACAACTACGGAAGGGTTGCTTGAAATAAAAGTGTTGAGGACCGGGAGGAGAAGATGTTAATCGATCAACTCTGTCATCTCATTCCAGTGATTGGAAGCAGGGTTGATGAGAGGGGATTCCGTCATCATCAGAAGGTGAACCAATAGAGATTGATTCGATGGTTGGTTGAGGCTGCTGAGAGATGACTGCAGCTTTAGATTTATGCTGTTTAGGTCTTTTAGGTGGAGAAGGCTCTGGAACTGAAGAGGCTTCGGTGGACATTTGACGTTTAGTGGAGGACTTCGATATTGAGGATTTTGGTATTGAGCGCTTTGATTTATGGGCTATTGAAGCTATTGAAGTTTTAGACAAAGTGGATGGAGAATCGGAATGGAATGGTGTGGTTGATGGACGTTTGCTTTGAGGCTTAAAAAAGAGCCTTCTCCATTTCTTTGGTTTGTGAGGTGGCCTTGCAAGGAGTTTGGGCCATTTTAGTTGGTTGAAGGGATTGTTCCCAAAGATGGAATTTTAATCTGGATAAATGATAACAGAGGACTCCATGCTTGAAGTTCTTATAATGCTGGCAGGAGGACGTCTCGTGTGTCTCTCCCAAGCAAAAACGACACTTGGTGTGGCCGTCGGAGAGTGGCATTTTGTTATCACAGACCACACAGTGTTTAAATGGGCCCAACAGAGCTACAAATAAGAGAAAATAATTTGAGGAGAAAAAACGATGATGGGGGGGGTGCTACGGATGGAGGCCGAGCAAAGAAAAAAAAGAAAAAATAATCTCTGATGGTAATGAATTTGTTTTTAAAAGTTTAAAGGGGTACAATGCTGGCAGGAGGACGTCTCCTGTGTCTCTCCCAAGCAAAAAAGACACTTGGTGTGGCCGTCAGAGAGTGGCATTTTGTTATCACAGACCACACAGTGTTTAAATGGGCCCAACAGAGCTACAAATAAGAGAAAATAATTTGAGGAGAAAAAACGATGATGGGGGGGGTGCTACGGCTGGAGGCCGAGCAAAACAAAAAAGAAAAAAAAATCTCTGATGGTAATGAATTTGTCCTGGGATTTGAACCCCAGGTCGTAAGCACAGTTTTAGCTGCAGTACAGCAATTTAATTACTGCGCCATGAGGCTCCAAAAAGATTGATTAACAGGAAGGGATCAAGAATAAACTGTCTTTCTCTTTTACTCACAGATGCAGAAACTATGAGGCTCTCAACGCGGCAGTTGACACAACTGAAAGGAGAGCGTTGGCGCCAAGGTACTTATACGAGGGGGGGGAGGAGCCTTATTCTAATGTGGTTTTTTGCTACCGCAGAAGCTCTAGAACCTTCCGATGAGGCTCCGTGCCGGCACAGATCACCTGACCACAGAAGCTCTAGAACCTTCCAATGAGGCTCCGTGCAGGCACAGATCACCTGGGGTTTAATTCACAGAGGCCACAAAGAAGAACCTAATATTCATTGACAGATCTCTGGCAAACTATATTCTTTACAGTACATCCAAATCCTGAAAGTGCGCCATGTCGTAAGCACAGACACATGGGACAGACACCTACCTGCCATTTTGAACAACATAAGGTAAGCACTTTTAATATAGCTTTGCCCATTATTCTTTATTTTTAAGTGAAAAATAGGCCAGCAACTGTGTTATTCAAACTTCATATTTGATCCCCTTCCTGTACCCCTTTGCAATAAAGTTTCCAGAACATTGTACTGGTTCCTTTCAGCCTCCTATACTATAGTTCTTCTGTAAAAACAAACAAATAAAAATGCTGAACTTCTTCAGTATAACCTGCTGGGTAGATATTTCAACTGATAAAGATTATGAAGAATCATTATTAAGAGCAATAGATAGGGCTTGGCATGGAGGAGGGGAAAGGAAAATACAGGGTGCTCAGTAAAAGATGCAGTATATCTTACCTCAGCAGCTTAACTGCATACTTGTTTTAAGGACTGTCAGTCTGGTTAGAAATCGCTCAGTGAAAGGATGCAGCTGAGTCTGGCACTGACAGATTGCCAAAGGGGCCTCCCACTTCCCTATCACAAAAGGATATAAAGAAAGAGATGATGTAAAGTGAAATGTAACAAATTCGCCAAAATCACAGCAATAGACAGAGGTCAAGGAAATTCAACTGAAAAGGTTAAAGATGAAATCAAATCTGGTGTATGAGAACGAAAATCTATCCCAGAGCAAGGCCAGTAGTGACGTGTTGTAGACAAGAAGCTAAATACTGCATAGCGCTGGGATCTTTCATTTTCATCAGATCAATAAAAGCTTATATTTATCAGGATTCCAAGCAGCTGCCACTTCTGACAACCTCCACTTTATTTTCTCCCTCCTTATGCTAGATCAGGGCAAAGAGGAGCTAAAAAAGCAGCTTTTAATGCTATTTACACCTGAAGTCACAATTCCATTAAGAGGGCCTGTTTTGTTAAAGAAACAGGGATTGATATTATTATATTGGCAGGAGCTGGAAACGCTCTTTGTTCTTCTCTCCATGTTTTCCCCCTTTGCAATCCAGACCCAGCAAGAAGATTTTCTGACATTAAGTGCACTTTTTTGTTCAAACTTACCATTTACAAAGAGGGGAAAGGCTTGCTGCTAAAACAGTTACTACTCTAATCATCTGTACAACAATATTTGCTATCAGGCATTCTAAATAGATTATCACCAGTCCATCTGTGTCATTATTGATTTATAAGGCTTTAAGCGGCTTTAAAATGGAAGCTTTCCCACTCAGGGGTTTCTTGTATAAATCAGAGCCGTACTCAAATATAGCAGCCATCACTCAAGAAAACTGTGTGTGTATGTGTGTGTATTCCTAAATCATAACAAGAAGGAGAAAATGATAAATTACTTGTAATATACTGATCCAAACTGATATGCAAATGTTGTTTTTTAAATATATGACTTGAGTAAAAAGAGGCATCATTAACATATGAATGCTATATGCAAATGATAGTGACAGAGCAGATGTTGGTGCATGTAATTGACCTATATTGAGAATTGCATCAGAACCCTTAACTCTATTAATTCACTACCCGGTAACTAGATATTGCCCAAAAAGTACATTCTTTGAAACCATACACTGGAAGTAAATCTGACAGGGTTCCAAGGATGCTGGAACAAGGTCACTGTCACCCGTATTTTGCTGTCATCTGCATTCTGCTCCTTATGGATGACATCATCAAGTGCCTGTGTAAATCGATCACTTAATAGCATTTAGAAAATACTGCAGTAGGGAACAGGTGGGGGGGTGATGCCCCAGTTTTATTCTTTTTCTTGGCAGAAATGTCATACCTCTTAAACTGAGGGTTTTTTGCATGAGTGCACTGTGAAACACACAGATGCCATTTTATTCCCTGTCTTTATTTTTTCTCTTCTTCTCAGAATGACATTAAATTGTATTAAATAGCCTTTTGTCCACAGGGCACAGACCACCCTGTATATGATAATGTATTAATGCCCCACGTTCTAACCACTGAGCTGAAACATTCTGAGACTTGGAGGAGAAGTATGAAGCCCCATTGTGTGTATTGCCTGCTAACAACTGTGACACATACTAATAGAAACATACCTAATAAATTACTGCTTTCAGGTCTACCAAGCTGACATTTCTCTGCAAGGGACAATTTTATATTTGTGGCACAGAACAAAATTGCTTCATATGAAGCTACTGTGGATTAGCATAAAAATTAACACTTAAATTTCAGCTTATTTTCTACCCTCTCCTCCTGCCACAACAATCAATTCCTCTTATAAATCTGATTAGATTTTATGATGCTTATTATTCAGAGCATGTCTCAACACAGCATTCACAGACTTGAAGACTATTTGTTTAAATAGGGAAAAAAAGCAGCAGATAAATCTATAGGTATTTTTTATTACCCCATTCCCAACCAGTTCCTTTCTCATATTGTAACATCGGTAATTGATTGCACACATTAATTAACATGTAAGGTAGAAATTCTGCATTATGCATGATTTATTTCTCTATCTAGTTAGTAGCATTGTCTGCCGACCTTGTGCTTCTAGGACATTGGACTCGATTCTGGTCCACACATAAATGCCAATGTTCATCCCTCCGAAAGTTATTAATGTCAGATATGAAATGAGATTTTTGATTTTACCTGCTTACTAAACCACAAAAGCTGTTTTCAATGAAGCAGCCTTAAGAAACACAGAAATTTAAAAATGATCAATTGCTGTATCTGATAGCACACCATCATGTTCATTTTTAGAGACAGAGAGAATGGGCAATACTTTCATACCGAGTCCAGGTTTTTTTAAAAAATGCTGTTAACTAAAGAAGTCACGAAAAATAGGCACTGTATATAAAATGTCTACCAGATATGCCACTTTATGACAGTAGATCAGATGGGATGCCAAGAGGTTTGATTTTTTAAAAAAGAAAACTAAACATATAACTCAAAAAAGCTCCTGCTTATTTAATATTTTTCAATAACAGATGGACTTAGATCTATATACTCTTCATCTCTAACTTGCACAGAGTGCTTTGACATTAGTGAATAGAGGCAGAGGTCTCTACAGCACTGACGTAGATCGAGAAACGCTTCCTCATGTGAAATGACTCAATCTGGTGGCCATCTTTCCTACTATACAAGGCACAGTCCTCTGCTTTAAGCCACCCTCTCTTTGAAGGACTGTTCAGTCTAAGTCCGTTCTCGAATGCCTGTTTTTATTTACGCTTCCAACACATGGCCGAATTTTTTCCCCCCTAATCATCAGAGAAAGGGTTTGAAACACATTGTTCAGAGACTCATTAACTTTTAGGGATGCTGTTCATCCCAGCCCATTCTCAAACAATAAAATGGCCAGGATTAACCTAGGTGTTACGCAGTAATCCTACAGTGACTGTGACCTTTGGAATAACGAGTCCTAGACATCATCTTAGTGCTGATTATACTCAAAAATGCTTTTAAATTCTAAGTTATTTCTAGTCCAAATGTATTCAGCTTTCCCTGCTATCCATTGGGTTACATTAAAGAGCCATCTGCTATCAGAAATTTTGCATCCATGAAGGTACTTACCAACCACAATAATAATAAAGCAGAATGGTTTAGGTAAAAGAGGCTGAGAATTAGCTCTACATGCTTTGACTTTTAGCTCTTTAAAACACTTTTTGGTCAATAGTATTTCCAAGGCATGTATTAGATGGGAGGAATCTTAGCTATACTACCACTGCTCAAATCAGTGGGAGCTATGCATGCAAAAATGAATGCAGTGCTTTAAGGAAAAACAACCAATACTTACTGCTCTTGTACAGTGCACGTTTTAAATACCTAAATATATTGCCCCCCTCACTTTTTTACTGTTGTTTAGCTATCCCAGGAGGATTGTTAGTTACTTTTGCAGCTTTAATCACTTCCCTTATTTGACATTTTGAAAACAGGTCCCCTTCCCACCTCTGCAAAAATGATGTTCTCAGGAACTCGATGTTTTACAAAAAGTTGGAGACACAGGCTACAAGAATATTTATTTATTTGTTACATTTATCTCCCGTATGTCTTCCAATGAGATCAAGGCAGTGCACCTGACTCTTTCTCCTCACTTAAGCCTCAGTTGAAATAATATTAAATGTGGCTCAAGGTTACACAGTGAGTCTTATGACTGAGTGAGGATTGAACTTAGGGACCCAGAATTCTAGTCTAGCACATAATCATTAGACCACACTGGCTCTTGAGTTGGCAATCCTTTGTTTTTGTTGGTTGGTTGGTTTTAAATTTTTGTTCAGGGTTAAATAATGCCTTACGGGACGTGGTGGCGCTGCGGGCTAAACCACAGAAGCCTGTGCTGCAGGGTCAGAAGACCAAGCAGTTGTAAGATCAAACCCACGTGATGGAGTGAGCGCCCGTCACTTGTCCCAGCTCCCGCCAACCTAGCGGTTCGAAAGCATGCAAATGCGAGTAGATAAATAGGGACCACCTTGGTGGGAAGGTAACAGCGTTCCGTGTCTAAGTCGCACTGGCCATGTGACCACGGAAGATTGTCTTCGGACAAAACGCTGGCTCTATGGCTTGGAAACGGGGATGAACACCGTCCCCTAGAGTCGAACACGACTGGACAAAAATTGTCAAGGGGAACCTTTACCTTCTAAGTAATGCCAAGCTGCCCCTTGCTTTGCTCTATGTAACTGACAGGCCATCAAATCACTGTATAAACATGCGCTATAATGGAGTCACCATTATCAAATAAGGGGAAACTCATTTCGCCTATTCCTAAAATGGTGTCACCACTGAATAATACTATATTCAACTATTCAAAACAAACAAACAAACAAAAAACACCCCTCCAATTTATGAATGTGGGATATTATGCTTCTGTACCCATGGTTCAAAATGCCAGGAAATGGCCTGATATTGCTGCAAAATATCTGACCCGCATTACCAGCAGGAAAAAGGATGCCAAACTTTACATAGCAAAGGGCAGCCTGAATGTTGACAACACCAATGGTAGCAGTCACAATGGTCCATAGGATAGCCTCTTCTGCCCACTACCATTCACACTTGTTGAAAAACGGCCCTGCCAATTGCTTTGTGTTTAGGTGAAAAGTGGTTAACTGTTGAAAAAAGGAGTCAACTTCTGGATTTTCCTTTATATGGTGTCACTTTCTGAATGGTAACAGTGTTGAAGGACTTCTGTTCAACACCTTGACCATTAGCCTGTGGAGTGTCTGAGGGTTCCATGATTCCTGTACCAATTCACATATACATGAAAAACCTGAAAGAGACTGTCCAGAAAGTGTGGTCTGGTACCACTAGTGTGCTGATGATACCCAACTCCTGGTTTTTAAGATCTTCCAGGAGGCCCTACTCTTGGTTTCTCAAGCCCCAGTGTGTCATCACCAAGCCTCCCCTGCCTCCAATTTCACCATAAAATCTACAATGGATGACATATGTCATTTAAATGTACTTTTACCTTCGGACCTCATTTAATCCAGAGTTAGCCCTCTTTAAAAAAAAACTGTAAGTGACCAGCCTGTTGCTTCCTATTTCTGACTAGGCGAGGTTCATGT